GGACTATTTAATTGATATTTCACTCTGAGCATTTTGTTTAATCATAGTCGAGGGTTATCAAAGGGAAAATTAACCAATATTTCAAAAATCTTCTTCTCCAGACTCAGAGGTACTACACTCATTTTCTCTGCATGGAAACAAAGATCATCAGGGGCTTTACTTAAATTGTAAATTTCAGGACCCCCGAGCTATTTGTTCTCCCTTGGGGAGGGGGTAAAGTTTACTATAGTTTATATAGGGAAATAACACTTTTGGGTATATTTTGACAACTTTTTGTAGGAAATTATTTTTACTTTGTTAGAATTATCCTTGGAGGAAGATGGTTTCAAATTGTAAAATTGAGATTCCTACCCCAACCCCTGGGGCCAGGGCAGGGCCCCAAAGGGAAAATTAACGAATATTTCAAAAATCTTCTTCTCCAGACTCAGAGGTACTACATTCATTTTCTCTGCATGGAAATAAAATCATCAGGGGCTTTATTCAAAATCGTAAATTTCAGAACCCCCGAGCTGTCTGTCTACCTTGGGGAGGGGGTAAAGTTTACTATAGTTTATATAGGGAAATAACACTTTTGGGTATATATTTTATCCATTTTCAGCAGAAAATTACTCAAACTTAGTCAGAATCATCTTTGGTGAATGAGAGTATTACATTGTAAACTTGGAATTCCTGCCCCATCCCCAGGGGCTAGAGTGGGGCCCCAAAGGGAACATTTACAAATATTTTCAAATTCTATCCTTTGATGACATGACAAGTATTGTATTTCACTTAGTTTACATGCTGATTTCCACATCACATCTAAACAATAAAATAAAGCTACCAGTACCTATGATATAACTCAGGTGACTGCTAAGGCCCTTGGGCCTCTTGTTCAGTTAAACATGGGGATTTAATAAATATCTCACTGTTTTGTAAATTAGTGTTGTAACCATTTTGTGGTCTTCTGACCAAGTAACTAATCGGCCAGCTAACCATTGACAACCTTGCTTTTTAGCTCACCTGGCCCGGAATTTCTTTTCCTTTGTATGAACTTGACCCACTTTTAAGGTCACATTTGGTAAAATATATATTGTATGAACATTTAAAAATGACCTAATTTCAGTAAACAAAAAGATAGGGTGGTGATATTTTGAAAGTTGCATCCTGAGTTGAAGGGCTATAAAGTTTGTTCAACATAATGACCTTGTTCCACTTTCAAGGTCACAGGGGTAAAATGTTTTCAATTTTTTTAACCCATTCTTTTGTATGACTTTTAATCATAAATACTGATGTTTTGCCTGTAGCTTTATTTAAGATCACTTTAAAGGTTACAAGTGTGAGATTTATACCAGGTGAGCGATGCAGGCCCATTGGGCCTCTTGTTACATTTAACACATATTTTTTGTATCAAGTTTTGCATTCTACAAAACCTGCAGAAAACATGAATGATGGGCCATTCAGATTGAACCTAAGTTGTCATAACTATTCTGTGTATATATTGTGATGTGAAAGACAATTTAAGCCACCAAATATAAAAGGTTAACTTATATAATTTACATGTTTTCTGTTTCCAGAGTAAAGAAATAGAAGATGACGACATCTTTGTATATAATGAAGGCTTCAAGCACAAACTTTGTAAAATCAAAATCAACCAAATACAAATGAAAGAAACGGTGAGTATTTACAGTTATCACAATTAATACTGTACAAACGGTGAGTATTTACAGTTATCACAATTAATGCTGTACAAACGGTGAGTATTTACAGTTATCACAATTAATACAGTACAAACGGTAAGTATTTACAGTTATCACAATTAATGCTGTACAAACGGTGAGTATTTACAGTTATCACAAATAATGCTGTACAAACGGTGAGTATTTACAGTTGTCACAAATAATGCTGTACAAACGGTGAGTATTTACAGTTGTCACAAATAATGCTGTACAAACGGTGAGTATTTACAGTTATCACAAATAATGCTGTACACACGGTGAGTATTTACAGTTATCACAATTAATACTGTACAAACGGTGAGTATTTACAGTTATCACAAATAATACTGTACAAACGGTGAGTATTTACAGTTATCACAAATAATGCTGTACAAACGGACTTACTGTGCAGATGTAAAACTTCATCAATAACTTGTTATATTGGTCTGAAAAACAACTGATTTTCTGTTTATGTACTGGCAAGAAACCAGTCAACTTTCAAAGCTAGGGTTGTTTTCCCTTCTTAGTCCACAGTAATTAGTGGATTGATTATTATTCACAAGCCAGAAGAGGCATTAAGTCATTTTGGACTGTTTTCTATAGTCAAAGTCATTCTGTGTTTTAATACAACTGCTAGGGGTGCCGATGTGGTTTCTATAAAAGCATTTGTGTTAAAAAAGGGTATCCCACCAGGTTTTCCCTCAGGGATATGACTTATAAACAAATCACAGTGGTATATTGTGTATTGGGTAGCATTTCTCCTTAATACTAAATGTTTTTAATTTGTGCTTGCAGCAAGAAGAAAACACAAGTACAACGGAACGCGTGTTCCAGGACAGACAGTACCAAGTGGACGCCGCAATCGTCCGCATCATGAAGACTCGAAAAACACTTACACACAATCTTCTAATATCCGAGCTCTATAACCAGCTCAAATTCCCAGTCAAGGTAAACATTGACATGTTAGAATTAATTTATGAAACAACAACAAGCAAAGTAGATCCGATTCCTAGCATTTATTCATACTTCGCAACATACGGGTACTCACAGACACTGCACATAACCTAACCTAGAATTTTGAAGTGTCGACGAAGTGGCATAGGCCTGGCAGAAAACTTGCATGCATTATTAATAGTGTCTATATATGGCAAATAATATGGGCATTTTATATTCTATAGACAGTGAAGTGCTGTATGAACTGTGTGAATGCGCCCGGGGCATATGTCGTAATTCCGGAGGTTATGGCTAAACAAAGCTGTGCAGATGGTTGATTCTAGTTCATGTTGAGTTTACAGGTTAAAGAACAAGACTTCATGACTTGTCTGATTGGGATTGTGCAGAACTCAATATTAGCCTTATAGAATTTTGACACACTATCTTTTCCTTCGTGATTGTACACATAATATTTTCCTGGTATGTCATCATATCAGTATGTACACAGTAGTGTAGAATAAACGTTTGCTTTTGTGATTGGATGAGATATCTAGGAGTTAAATGTAATGTCGCAGAATCAATATTTACATTTTTTTTTTAACTATTAACTAATTCTCAATTTGTGTTTATGTTTCAGCCCGCAGATTTGAAGAAAAGGATAGAAAGTTTGATTGACAGAGACTACATGGAACGTGATAAAGATAATCCAAATCAGTATCATTATGTTGCTTGATTCTTATGGACTATATTAGATGATGATAAAACATTTATTTGACAGAGATTGTTTCTGTCCCACAAACACTTTGATGATTATTTCTGTCGGACATTGAGACAGATTATATCACAGCCATCTGTCTAACGAACGTTCCAGTGATACATTCTGTGCGATCTGCATCATTTCCGTGCTAACATCATCATTGTGTGGATTTCCTCCATGCTGTGTTCGTGGAACATGATGCTGAGAAGTTGCAGATGTTAGTTTCTCTGTGTCATGACAGAACTCCAGATCAATGCTGGCAACAGACATTTCCAGGCCCTTTAGGCCTCGAGGGGCACAGTGTGATGGTCTGAATGTAAACACACGAACACAAACAGTATGAACCTGCTATTATACTGAACCAGTCAATACACTCATCAATACTTTATAGTTAATATGTCAATACATTCGTTCAGGGCAAGTTATCAATCACATTATTCTTCAAATATTATCGGGAATTATTTTTTCTTATTAACAACTTATGCTATTATTGTAAAACATGCAAAATTTTATATTTAATATTTGAAGCCTAGACTTGTTTCTCCTGTTAACATGCTTTACAATTACTCACATCAGGTGACTAGGGCCCTGTATGCGTGTCCGGTTCAACCAGTTCCTTGTGCGTGTCCGGTTCAACCAGTTGGCTTGTTTTTAAATGTAACATTTTCGGGTATAAATCCTGGCTGACCTGCAAAAGTCTGTGCATGCCTTGTAAGGTTTTTTTGTCAATGCTCGCCTGAAAACAGCATCAGATTACTGGGTCCGACCTTATTTCATAAACAAACAACTCTGGTTTAACTGTTTGGATTGCGATAAACGAATGTGATCTAGGCCTGTGCTTAGCTGTGAGGTCGTCAGTCACCTCGCAAGTGTTGTGTGTCCTCTGCCTCTTTACGAACAACATGTTTAATGCAGATTAGCAGCTTTTTTCTTAACTCTTCTTATCATACCGAAATTGTCACATAATTGAGTCTTGTATAGAAACACGTTGGTCACATCTTTGGCTGAAATTGTTGTTCTTTGTCTTGTTATCAGAGTATGGAATACTATTTTAAAAAATTTGTGATTAACTTCATCATTCGACTTGTCTTTGATGTTCTAGAATGGTTTTATACTGTTACCTGGTTTCATTCGGAGCTTTGTTATTTCCATTCTGTATAAGACTAATATAAATTTCTAGATTCTCGCTGTGATCATATACTACATTCATATTCATGCTGAAACAGATTTCACAGCGGGTTCCATATGAATTAAAGCCTTACAAAAATGTGAAGTTGGACAAAGCGAACAGTCTTTAATGTGCTAATTTATGCCTCATAGGAATTTCAAATATTCAGGATATTGACTTGTTATTTTTGAGTATAACAGTATGTTTCGGTGCCATCTAGATTGTTTTCTCATTGGAATTGTTACTGATATGGTTGGTTTTGGGGTAGGAATGCACTTAACATAGGTTTTCTACTGCACAATTAACTCACTCACCCATGACACATTTGAAATCTTCCGTTTCAAAGATTGGAATAGTTCATTATGAAATTTCAGGGGTGAATGTGTTAAACAATATTCAAGTACGATTTTCCAAATCAAAATATTGTGCAGCAAAGAGATCATCATTGAAATTATTTTTTACTGTTTGTTGTTGAAAATTTCATTTCCAAAATAAAGAGGGTTCTTCATTAAGTGGATGTAACGAGAGCTTCGTTTTTTTAAGTTGAAAATTGTCATTCCAAATTAAATAAGCTTCAACTAGGAGTTGATCTACCTGATTCCAATCAATCAATTTTCATATTCTTAGCAAGACACAAGGTTTACAATTTGAAATTAATCACGGGGTAAGAAAATCTGTTTCTACTGTTATGATATAAGTTTCATAGTGTGAAGTGACAGGAGGTGTCCAGTGATCCCTCAGAAGTAGTGTTTTGTCGGGACATCAGACACCACAGCCGCGAGTCCCTTCTGGTTGTGATATCATAATGTCGAAGCTTCATTGAAAACCATTGAAAACCAATATAGACTTTTATGTCCTTTAAACCAAATGTAGTATAATGAAACACTTGTACACATTATTGTATCACCACGCCCCAAACTTCCATTGTATATGGACTCGTCGCTAGAGAAAGAGAGAGAAAAACTGATTTTTGTAAGTAAGGAGATCTATGGGATGTTTGAGTGTTGATGGCCATACATTTGTACTACCATATATTCAGCATTATAAAGTGTATTTATTGTAAGCTTGTGTGGAATTCAGTCTGAACAGTCTACTTCCCACCGACTGACAAAATGCAGGCATTTGTGTGACATACTTTATAACTGTAGACAATGGAGTGATCTGGGTAATTGGATTACAAAATGAATTGTTGCGTAACATTTTCAGGATTTCAGGAAGCATGAAATGCTATAAGTATCCAGAGAGTTTTCCAAAATTATTTAAGTTCCAGACTGTTTTAATATTTTGAGAAATTAAATATTGTTCAATTATTATTATTATTTAATTGATGAGACATCGTGTGAATCAATTTTGACAGTACGGTAAATGTCAATAAATTTAACCCTTTAAAAGTTTTAATTACATTTATTTAAAAAATATTAAGATTTTTTTTATCACTAAATTTGACATAATTTTGTTTCAATTTGACCTTGAAATTCTGAATATTGGTTGTTAGGTCTGATGTTATTTGGTTTTGAATGTGGATTTCTGTAAATGTTCCATTTTGTTTGACATTCTGCAACATTTACCTTAAAATGATCTTCTCAGTAAATATGTACCTCAGACTAAGGTCGAGCCTAGATCTACATACACATTGTGTATTTATGATTAATCTCATAGTTATTTTGGTGTTGTTTCAGATTTGTATGTGCGAGGTTTCTGTACACAATATAGGCACTATTCTTGGGAATGACAGTTGCTGATAAATATGGACACAGTTAAATATGGTACAATTTTCTTCTTCTTTGCCTTGAACTTATGAAAAAAACCTAATAAACCCCAAATTTGTGTTTCTACATTTTCGAATTGAGTTAAAATGTAAATTGTATATATATGCCAAAATCAGAAATCGCAAAAGCAACACATTCAACTGAGATCTAGAAGCAAGGGTGAAAAATGTGTGATTTACAAGAATTCATTTGAATATTCATACAGACTGTTTTTCAAGCAGTGTTTAGGGCTAGATATTCATACAGACTGTTTTTCAAGCAGTGTTTAGGGCTTAATATAATACAGACTGTTTTTCAAGCAGTGTTTAGGGCTTGATATTCACATGCAAAATCACAAAAGTTTGTCGTTCCATATTTATTTAAGATGAAATCGCATAGTTATTTTTTACATGGCACAGATTTCCATCCCATTGTCAGTACTTCTGCAGTTTATATGAGACTAGGCCACCCTGTGATCATCAACCCAACACCTTTGTATAAAACAGACTGAACAATCAGGACTCTTAGTCGCTCCTGTCCTGGTTAGACAACTTAACTTCAAACTACTGTCCCATTTAGTACATGTTCAAAAATATTGAAAAATGTAAAATGACTTTCATAGCAAGCCCTACTATACATACAAGGGATTTTCCTTTAAAGATGTGACAAGCACTTCGTTTACTGCAGTGAAATTAAAGTAAACTATAGAAGTATTTACTAACATACACCCATATACTTTTATTAGTCTCATTATGGAAAAGAAGCTATAATATACGACCCGACATCTCGATATCATGCTCCTCAATATTTCATCTCTCTTTACTTTTTAGGGTTGGTTGTTTTGCAGCCATACTTTTGGAAACAGTTTCTTTCAATTAATCTTTATGCAGAGATATAAAAAAAAACAAAAAAAAAACATGTCATATCTTCTAATAGACAATTTTTCCCCATTTATCATTTGTACAAATTTGTCTAGACCTGTCGGAGTAGAAAACACAGCAATTTTTTTTCTCTTTTATTACTTAGGTAACAGTACCGTCGAACTTGTGAGAACACATGTGCATTCAACTTGATCATGAACAATTAGTTTTTGTACATTTTTCTGAATTTCAATGTGACATACAAATTATATGTAAAGTGAAAGTAGAGAGTGTTGGAGTGCACAATATGTAAGAATGTCATAAGGTCAGTCGTTTTTGTGTCTTATAACAGAAATAAAATGCTCAAAAACCTGTTGTATTGAGCTACATTTAGCTTCACATACATTCACATTTAGTTGTTAAATTCAGGTAAATCTTAATGTTCTATCAATAAGATTAACTGAAAAAATACACATGGAAATACACATACTCTTATGCAGATTTGGATGTTGAATGGGGATATTTATTGTTGTGTAACAAATTCAGATCAGGAGAATTTTGTTTGAAAATTTCACTTCATTCTTCTTATGCTGATGACACTTGTTTGCATTCTTTCACAAACTTTTTTGATGAATCTGATTGAAAGTGCTAACAAATGAAACGTTCCCTCCATTTAGTGCTAGGATTCTACCATGCAGTACTAGTTTGGCTAAATAAATACTTTCCTGGACCATTATTTTTTTTCCACAAATTTTACAAATGAGATGAGGGACAATGCATTGTGTTTGTTATCTTACTTTATCACTCCGAGGAAAGGAACTTGATGAGTACAAATAGACCGCGATCTCAAACTTTATACTCGGTGAATGAGTTAAATGAGTCACCAACATTCTGTTCAGGTATTACCAGGAATTGTAACTGATGTATTAAACGTGAATGGTGTATGTGTATAACAAGTACAGGGTGGTTATTTACTTTATGTGTTTTGGGAATTTAAATTTGTACATATCAGATAACCGTAAACAATGTATCTTAATTATCCTTAGAGGATGTAAAAATATGTTGTGATTAAAAATATGTGAAACGAACATTTCCTGGACAATTAACGCCCGTTGGATTGAGTAGTGGAATGTGTGACACAAAGTCATTAACTCACGGGATATATCTTTTCATATAACTCATGAAATATTTGATGAATTTTTATGATACAAATGTACAAACTATATGATATGGAAAAATAGATGGTTTGATAGTATAATCATAAAAAAAAATAACATTGCTCAAAAGCTTGGCTTCCAAGTGGATTTTCACCTTGTAAATTTATTTTTCAAATATTTGCAATTATTCGCAAACTTTTGTGAAATATTTTTTTCTGAAGATGGTAAAAAGCTACCTCCCTCACGTGTTAATTTTGTATACCATGTCTATTTCAGATTCTGCATATTTCTATCTTGGATCTTGTTACCATATCATATTCGGAGATGAAATATATTGTTTGTATCATGAAAATTTGTCAAATACATTGCATTCACGAGTAATCCAAAAATATACATTACCTGAATGATCTTGTCCAGCTTATATTTAATGATTGGTCATTAGCATACTTGATACTTATCCTTATGATAACAGTTTATTGGAATTTTTATCTTTCTGAGAAAGATATGGGTGACGTTCCTACAGAGCTGGTGTGTCTGTGTAGTATTTATAGGTAACTGTTGTCGGGTGTGAGATACGATACTAGCTCGCTGGTGTTCTGTGCTAAGTGATATTTTCAGGAATTGTATACATATGAAAATGAAAAATATTGATCAGAATTAAAAATCTTAAAATGCAATGACACTAGTTTTATTATGTTTCAGTGACTGTAATATGTTGTAATGAACTTTTTGACATAATTGATTCCTGTGACCTTGAAAGTAGGAAAATCTTTCTTTGAAAAGTTTATCGGGCTCCAACCTATGAAGCTATTAGCCCCTTGGGAAGGTAAGTTAAAATGGAAACAATACATAAATACATAACACCATAATGTATGGTGTGTTGTTCTTCAACTTTTACCTCAAACGACTTCTTAAGAACTGGAGGATAAAATTCAGTCTGGATAACTTCTCCTAATTGTGAGCTAATGAGTTGACTTTAACACAACTTTATCTGTACATTTATACAGTTGTGTGAACGCACAATGCACCAAGAAATCGGTGCAAATTGTGCAATTGTCCACACATAGTGCACACACCATCCACAAACAGTGCACACACCAACCACACATAGTGCACACACTGTCCACACATAGTGCACACACCAACCACACATAGTGCACACCCCATCCACAAACAGTGCACACACCAACCACACATAGTGCCCACACCATCCACAAACAGTGCACACACCATCCACAAACAGGGCACACACCATCCACACATAGTGCACACACCATCCACACATAGTGCACACACTGTCCACACATAGTGCACACACCAACCACACATAGTGCACACACCATCCACACATAGTGCACACACCATCCACACATAGTGCACACACCAACCACACATAGTGCACACACTGTCCACACATAGTGCACACACTGTCCACAAACAGTGCACACACCATCCACACATAGTGCACACACCAACCACACATAGTGCACACACCGTCCACACACAGTGCACACACCCACCACACATAGTGCACACACCGTCCACAAACAGTCCACACACCAACCACACACCATCCACACACAGTGCACACACCAACCACACATAGTGCACCCACTGTCCACACATAGTGCCCACACCAACCACACATAGTGCACACCCTGTCCACAAACAGTGCACACACCAACCACACATAGAGCACACACTGTCCACACATAGTGCACACACTAGCCACAAACAGTGCACACACCATCCACACATAGTGCACCCACCATCCACACATAGTGCACACCCCAACCACACATAGTGCACACACCGTCCACAAACAGTGCACACACCGTCCACACAGTGCACACACCGTCCACACACCGACCACACAAAGTGCACACACCGTCCACACACCGACCACACAAAGTGCACACACCGTCCACACATAGTGAGCACAACTGGGCAATTTAACAATCGATAGCCCTGCTGTGCAATAAAACGTGCTCATATGTGCAATATCGGAAAATTGATTGAATGAAAAAGAATCTGAAAGGCTCAAGTGAAATATGGTACATATATTTTGTACTTCATCTAATTCTCAATATACGTTACACATTATTACAATGACTATAACTATCAATATACGTTACACATTATTACAATGACTATAACTATCAATATACGTTACACATTATTACAATGACTGTATAACTATCAGTATACGTTACACATTATTACAATGACTGTATAACTATCAATAATGAATGGAGTTGATCGCCGATGTATAAATGTATTAAAAACCTTTAAACCACTTCTTTTGATTAACCAAGAGGCCTAAAGCAATGATATTTGGCCAGTAGGTACCTGGGACAGAATGCTATTAACTTTCCTGAAGTAAGTGACCTTGACCTACTTTCAAGGTAACAGGTGTCAAAGTTCATTATAGGTTGCGAATAACCAGTAGGCCCAGAGTAGTGATACTTGACCAGTAGGTACCTGGCATGAAGTGCTATAAAGCTTCCTCTAATAAATGACCTTTACTTACTTTCAAGATTGCAAAGGGCCAAATGTGTTAAAAACCTTAAAACATCTTCTGAATAACCAAGAGGCCTAGAACAATGATTTTTAGCCAATAGATACCTGGAAAAGAGTTGTATTAAATTCTCTCAAATAAATTACCTTGACCTCCTTTTAAGATCACAAGGGTAAGGAAGTGTTAAAAACAACTTATGAATAACCAGGAGGCATAGAGAATTGAAATTTGGGTAGTAGATACTGACATTAACCTCATTTCAAGGTCACAGGGATCAAATATGTAAAAGCTTTTAAACATCACTGCTTCAGAATAACAAGTAGGACCAGAGTAATCATAATTGGCCAGTAGGTTCCTGGCATGAAGTGTTATACAATGTCCTCCACTACATACTTACAAGATCACAAGGGTCAAATGGGCTACAAACTATCAAACAACTTCTTCTGAATAAGAGGCCCAGAGTGCCTGTATCGCTCACCTGGATATGTTTAAAGTACTTGATATGAGGTAAAGATATAGCACTCCATGATAAGTACTCTATGTACATATGAAATTTCTGAAAGATCCATCCGTTATTTCTGGAGGTTTAGCGAGAACAAACTTCAAATGTCAAAATTCAAGATGGTGGCCTGGTGGCCATCTTGTTTCAATGAATACACCCTAATAGTAAAAGGTACTACTAGACAACTTGACGGAGACAAAATTAGGTTAAATCCTGTAATCATTATGGTAGAAGAAGGATTTTAAAGGTTTACCTCTATTTTCCCTAATCGGCCCCACTCCTCTGCCACACCCAACGTTTATACAAAACTTACCTTGGCCTAAGGATGTTCCAGACCAAATTGGGATGAAATCCCTTAATCCGTATGGTAGAAGGATTTTAATTGGGGCCCCTCTCCTCTGCCCTTGG